AAAGATTATCTGACCGGACTGGATATCCAACCTATGATTTTTACCTGGTAGTTGGGTTGGGTTTGGTGCAAAAAAAAATTATAATCAGGTACCCGAGCCGATCCAATAATTTTAATTTTATATATATATAATACTAACTTCAAATCAATAAGTTTTGTGTATGGATCATATATTATGAACTTTTAAATTTTCATGTATTATGTATTTTTTTTAAATTAAATTAAAAAGTTATATATATATGAACTAGGTATATGTGACCAAAAAATGTGAATATCTGAATTTTACGAGTATCTAGATTTAACGGGCTAGATTATGAGTCGAACAAATATACTATCCGAAGAATTAGATATATGGTATTTCGAGTAACCGAAACTGCAGGTACCCGATTTTAAACCCCTAGTTTTGTGTACCTCAAACCATATCCTTTGGTTAAATAACGTAGAGGTAAGTGACCGACAGAGGGATGAAGGCAAAGGATGGGCAGTGAACAGAAAGACGCAGCTTCGTGCTGTCAAGATTTGGACCCATAAAAACAAGACGCCCTTAGGATTAGGGAGATGTGTTCTATTGCAATTCTGCTAGTTATTGTTGGCCATTTTTCTCAAGGTTGCATTGCTCTTTAGAGTTTCGAGCTTCTTGTCCTTTTTTTTCATTGGAACAGTTTCAGTAAGTGTGGCTTTCCATGATTTAGGGATAGTCTTCGTTCAAGTTTTAGTAGCGGGTGTTGTTTAGTTGATGTGTTGGGTTGGAGTTTGGTTTGTACGATGTTACAGTTTTGTGTGTTTTTTTTATTATTACCACCTCAATGCACATTATTTTTTCCTTTATTTAGAGTTAAAAAATCAAAGGTTTTGCAGTTTTAGACTTTAGGACTTTTTGGTGTTTTAAAAAATCAAAGATTTTTTAGTTTTAAAAATTATAAAGAAAATTGGAAATCAAATTATATGTCGTGTATTTTTTTTTTATAGAAAGTCACTAGTTTTATTAAAAATAAAAAATATTCAAAATTACAATGAAGATTTATAAACATATTCATAAATATAAAATATAATTATGATATTTTTTTTTATTACCATTTAGACAATAACTAGCCACCTAAATTATATAAGGGCCAAAGAAAGAAAAAGTTAAAATAAAAATACGAACAATCTGACTGCATCGGTAAACGAACCACAAAAGGAGATGAAGTTGTTTGAAAGATCACCAATAAATCGTAAATCAGAGTCAAGCGACATGAGAAAACTATCCTCGAACGCAAAACACGTATCCAACTCAATCATAGAGTCCAAAGATGGGAATATCATCATGATAAGAAATAAGCGACATCTTGATCAGTCGTGACATGTCAAATCCAACCTTGAGAAAAAATAAACAAAAACAACACAAAAAATCGTAGGCTACAAAAAGACAGAGAAAAACATGCCATAAAGACAGAGATAAACGTATCATAAAGGCATAGAACATGTCACAAAGATATAATTATTCTTATTGAAAATTTAAAAGAAAATAAAGAAAAATAACCAACATTAAAACTGGTGTCGCAGTCGGTTAAATAAAATTAAAAGAAGAAAAAGTTAGATTGATCAATAAATTTAATAGAAAAATTTGTAAAGAAGAAAAAGAAAAGAAAAGGGAGGAGGAAGAAAGTGATCGTATGTTCTTATATGTCAAGTATTTCTTAAATAATAGATTTTTATTTTATTAGTATTAATATGCAACTTTAAAATAATAACGAAACAAAATTTTATATATTTATTTTAATAAAAAATCTTAGTGATATAAAGTAAAATATAAATATAATATAGACATATTTTGCATGTTACTTGAAGCACACCGACACTAAATTCACCTTATCTCTCGGTTGGTATATTTATTAAAAATATGAATGTATTTTAGAAATTAAAAGTGTATTTTAGAATAATAAGTGTAGTAAGGAAATACAACCATTACGTATTATTATACCAATTCAATACTATATAAAGAAAACATATTATTTTATACATTTGCAAGCGGCCAAACCCTAAAATATTGGAATCATCATAAATCACTATTGATTAAATTCTCACCATCAAAATCAAAATTATAAAATTGAAGTAACGAAAGAAAACGATTTTAAGATAATATCAAATCAAATCTTAAAATTTCGAAAACCATACGAAAGTGTTCATATCTCAATGTCAATCTTTAACAATAGACGCACATACCAAGCAATATCTGTGATAAATAAATTATTATTATTCTTTGAAGTCCTGAGTTTGGATACTAGAAATGTTAGGAATTTTTTTTATATAACTACCAATATCTGTTCTATTGATCGACTTATCCGGATCGGGTATTGCAGAGGCAAGAACGATCCTCCCAACCTAGTTTACTCAATTCACAATCGCCTGGATTCGAACCCCTAACTTTGCTTAAGGGATCTAGTACTTCATCCTACTACATTAATTGGTTGTTGGTAAAACCATAAATTTATCAATATAAAATATAGAATTTCAACCTAAAATCAATATAAGAAAACTGAGGTTAAATAAGACTAAACATCATAAACTGTTTAATAATATTTTAAAAACCGAACTGAATGCAGCGTTAAGGTTAAGCGTGTTCATTATAAATATCCAATAATTTTTAGGGTAAATTACGCATTTAGTATCTAAGCTATCAGTTTTGATCCGTTTTAGTATCTAAATTAAAAAAAGTCAACGTTAAATTTTGAACAGATGTACTAAAATGAAACAAAAGCTATAAATTTTAATGGTGGAATTCTACAATGAAACAAAAACTAAACTTTATGTATTGTTTTGAAAAAAAACTAAAAGTTTAAATACTAAAATGAAAAAAAACTAATAGTTTAGGTACCAAACGTATAGTTATCCTAAATTTTAATTGGGTTAATAGAATAAATAATTCAGATCAAGTATTTTTTGAACACCTCTAATTAAGATTCACTTGAATGAAATTGGCAAAATTGGCCCAATAGCCAATAGGCTATGTTGGTAAAAAAATTGGTCCATTAGGCCATCTTCAAAATTAATTTGAGATATATGACATTTGGTACAGTGACTTGGAACTTATCACGTCAACATGTCAAGTTTCAATAAAATATATATATTTTTTATTAAAATTCGTTACTCGAATAAAAAATATTACTCGGGCAAACTCGTCATGCCGGTACTATAACATTTATCGTAGATCCCTAAAATAAAATCTGAGTTAGACTAATGGGCTATTTTTTTACCCGCTTGGCTTATTGGGTCAATTTTGTCAATGAAATTTGCACCAACTGAGCCCGGTAGAACTTGGTTAGCTTGGCCCAACTGTACAAACATTGGCCCAACATCACCAGCCGTACAAATTAGCAGAACATGTATGTGCATGGATGAAAGTTGTGCTTTCTTGGCAAACAAACACCATCTCAACAACCTTAACCCAATAGTTTTTCAAATATTTTCCTTTTAACGTCAAATCACATGCTGAAACTGGGAAAACCCACAAAAATTTCAAAGCTTATTTTCTTTGTATTTGTCCATGGGGAATAAATGGTGCATTCTTTTTTGATAATAAAAGCATTTTCATATAACAAATAGGAATGGCAACAGGTCGGGTTCGGGGTGGGTTTTACTCGTTTCGTATCCGAACTCGAAATGAATCCCTGACCCTGACCCGATTCCCGACGGATTTTTTATCGGGGTGCTCCATCGGGGATTTTTTTTGCCCCGTTCCCGAATCCGACCCAAAATATTATACCTAAACCCGAACCCGAAAATATTTTATATATAATTAATATAAAATATATACAATATTCTATATATAATTAATATAAAATATATAAAATATTATATATATATATATATATATATATATATATAATCGGGGCGGGGCGGAGATACCTTGCCCCGAACCCGACTCGAAAAAATCTCCGAAAAAAATTCCCGAACCCGACCTGACCCGAACTTAATCGGATTTCAGATTTTTCCGTCAGGTTTGGGTCATACTGCCATCCCTAATAACAAATCCAAGTGCTTCCTACTCTTACACGTATTTCCGGAATATTGCACGGTTTTCACCAAAAAGTCTGCAACATAATTCGCTGCACGGGAAACATGCTGGATTTGAGTTTGCCGATTATGATTGTCTTAGCTCAAGTTGGAAACTTTGCTTGAGCTCTTCAACTTCAACTATGGGTTGCGGAAAACACCGTACAAGGGATTCAAATTGTAATTGCTGTCGTATATTCGGTATTATCACATTTATTGTAATCGATGATATAACATATATTAATATGTCGATTGCAGATGTCGAAGTCATACAATAACGGTCGCAAATGACACTATTATTGTCATATCGTGGACCGTACCTTTTTGTTTTTGTGTTGTTACCTCTAAGATTGGTAAAGCCACATGTAAAAGCTGCGAGTTATACCTACTGACGTAGTTGCATGGGTTTGGTTTTGGCCACGGTATTACTTGATTTTAAAGCAGAAGCAGTCATGTTGCTTGGGTTTTAATGAACTTGTCCATAAATTGCAACTTAAAAGGATAAAGAAATTCCAACTCTCAATTGCAGGACATAATAAGCAACATCCATTTAAATGCAGATGCTTAACATGAAACCTCGCGTTAAAAAATTAACGGAATTCAAAGATTCAATTATCAAAATAAGACATGTCGAAAATAAAATTGAAAAAGATGTAATTTTTTAAAATTGGTGATTAAAATCAAACAAATCGAATCAATGTTGTTTATCCTTTAAAGAATTTTGGGAGTTAAGTTGCTGGCAAAGGGAAAAGCAGCAAGCTTCAAAGGTTGAAAAAGAAAATCTTATCCCACACATAAAGATGGGTTACTTATGAATCACAGGTTTCAAGCGACAACAGCTTTTAAAGTACACCACCAAATTATTATGGCAATAATTACAAAATTACAAAAATGAAACCAAGTGTTTCTCAAGATTAATTAGCTTTAGAATTTTGTATTAGATTTTTCAAAATTTTGTTCTGACCTCAGAATCCACCAAATCCACACAAGACAAACCCTAGTTCTAGCTTCATCTACCCTCATTATCATAAGATCTTCAACTTAAAGCCAAGAGCACACCAATTTGCTTAATAAGTTGTTCAAACATTTTAGTTTCAGAGACCGGACACTAGAGCATGTTATTTACAAGCCAAGATGCAGCAATATTTCCACCGTCCTCTCACCGCCGCCGCCGCCCCATCAACTTCGCCGCCATCGGAGCCTGATTTAACATCTTTCCAGCCACTTTCCTTGGACCCCACCGCACCGGATTACACCTCCCTCCTCTCCGACGAACTCTTACTCAACGTTTTCTCCAAGCTTCCCATCTCTCAACATGTCTCCAATTCCTTGGTCTGCAAACGCTGGTTGTACCTCCACGGCCGGTTGGTGCAGTCCCTTAAAGTTACAGATTGGTCGTTTCTTACTTCGGGTCGGGTATTTAACCGGTTCCCCAATCTAACCGATTTAGACTTGGTCCGTTCGTGTATTGGGGTGTCAAAGTGTTCCGGCACTATATTAACCCACAAAACTATGTCGGTTCATGTCGATACTGGTTTTACTCTCGGCGGATTTCTCGAGAAAACGGCGTTGTTGCCGTCAAATGAGGTCGACGAAGGGCTTACGACGATAGCCGAAAAGTACCCGAATTTACAGAGATTATTGGCGATTGGTGCCAGCGAGCGAGGGTTGTTAAGAATAGCCGAGGAGTGTTCCACGTTGCAGGAATTGGAGCTACATCGTGGAGGGGATTTGGCTTTGAAGGCCCTTTCGGGGATTAAAAATTTACAGGTAGTGAAACTGATTGGGTTCATTGATGTGTTGTACAACTCGACGATTTCAGATATTGGGTTAACGCTGTTGGCTCAAGGGTGTAGAAGATTAGTTAAGCTCGAGCTCTGTGGGTGTGAAGGGAGCTATGATGGGGTTAAGGCGATTGGGCAGTGTTGTCAAATGCTCGAAGAGTTGACCCTTTCTGAACATAGAATGGATGGTGGGTGGTTAGCTGGGCTCTCGTTTTGTGGGAACTTGAAGACCCTGAGGCTTCGGTTTTGTAAAAGTATTGATAAGTGGCCAGGCGCAGATGAGCATTTGGGGTCTTGTTTGACTCTCCAAGAGTTGCACTTGCAGGGCTGTCAAATTCGGGAGACGCAGAGTGTTAAAGCTTTGTTCTTGGTTTGCCAGAATGTTAGGGATATTGTTTTACATGATTGTTTTGGCTTGGAGGATGATGTGTTTGGCCTCGCAAGCATTTGTAGGTACGAGTCTCCTTTTCCATTTTCAATAGGATCATTTCTTTTACTTTGATTGCTGTGATTCATGTGTAGTTTCGGATGCTTAACTAAAGCTAGCTGCCAACCTTTGATTCATAGAGAGTACTTGTTTTATGTTTCATAATGCATTGTTAGTTTGTAGGAAACTAGTGATCTTATTAGAGAATATGACTTTGATAGTTGATTTAGGGCCAGTTTGTAGGAAACCGGTAATATTTTCGGTAATAACATAGCAATGAATTTGTGGAAAGTTCACAATCCAAATGACCAAGTGGACATTTCCTTGCTCTTGATGCTTAATAGTTTGAAATGTCTCAGTGATCTGTTCATGGTGTGGCTTCGAAATCAGTTTACAACCATTTTCTGCTCTCCCTATTCGAAATCTGACGGCGGGTATGCATTGTTATTTTCTGTAACTTTATAGGAGAGTGAAGCTTCTTTCTTTGAAAGGATGCTCGTTGCTAACTATAAAAGGTTTGGAATCGGTAGTGATTTCATGGAAAGAGCTTCAACGATTGAGAGTGATGTCGTGTCGTAATATAAAGGATACTGAAATCACACCCGAATTGGCAACCTTGTTTTCTACATTGAAAGAGCTGAAATGGAGACCGGATTCCCGGTCTCTGCTATCGTCGAGTCTTGCAGGGACTGGAATGGGGAAGAAAGGGGACAGATTCTTCAAGAGATGGAAGGATTGACCGTGCTGCTCGATTCCACACAATCTGGTTTTGAAGCAGCTGCAAAAAGAGATGTGAAAAGAAACAAGTGTAAACACCGTAGGATTCAACAATCACAATCCATGTTCCCGAACTTGATGCGTTCATGATGATGATAACGGGGGAGGAACTGCCATTCTTACACTCATGTAGCCAGCTTATCAGAGTTTGTCATATGAATTGTTTGATGGAGTCGTTCCTGTATAGCCCTGTGTGCCAACATCTAACAATAGTTACTTTGTTAAATGTATTTTAGTGGCAGTGGTCATTTTTTTCTAGTTTCGTTAACAAGTAATCATCTGACTTGTTAGTTGATGTAAACGGAAGGGTTAATAATGTAGTTCATTGTTCTTACGCTCTTTGTTCGAAGTTCAAACTCACTGAAGTGAGGTTTTAATGGGTTAATTATTTTGCCCCAATTCGTGCCGTTGGATATGAGGACGCGTGGCGGAAATTGATTTGTAACTGCTGCGTGGAAATACCCAGCTACTCCGCCCATAGAAAACCTAAGGTGAAAAGCCCACAACTTGCCAATAATAAAATACAGGAGACAGGACTAGTACGTGTCAAAGATATTAAACAGACATCCTAAAGCTTGCGCATCCGAATCCCGAGTCGACTCAGGCGAGTTTCTCCTCTCCCTCTCTTTCTTTGACATTCTACTAGATTTGCTGTTTATCGTACAGACGATGGATTTTTCTCCTACTCACATCTGATTTGGTTAAGATCGATCCACTGCATTCTTTACATCGTTTTTATCATTCGTTACTTAAGATCCTCTAAGATTAGGATTTTTCGAAAGCGTTCAGATATGATTATCGTAGGATTGATTTAGTAAATGCGTATACCTCTTATATTGAAATATGTTTTGATTCGATCGAATCTTAAAATTTGGTTGTTTGAATTCTATGATTTTATCTCTTTTGGTGTTTCAATTAGGGCACTAAGATTTCAGATCAAATTTTGGTTGTTTTGAATTGATCATATGTTGTATATCTTCTACACAATTTCTTTATTTATATCATCTGGTATTTTTTGAAACTTTCTTGTGTTCCTTGAAAAAAAATTCTATTTGCTGAATTCAGAAACAATATTTCTCTATATGTTTATCTAGCATTGAGAATTGAAGTTGGTTGTTACAGAAATGGCAACCGGAACAGCACCGCCAAGAGGAAGTTCAGCAGCCGCTGCGAACATGAGGAGGAGGAGAACGACGAGCGGTGCTGGTGCCTCGGGAGGAGCTGCCGGCACAATGCTTCAGTTTTACACGGATGATGCTCCGGGACTCAAGATCTCCCCAAATGTGGTGCTTGTCATGAGCATTGGTTTCATTGCTTTCGTTGCCATTCTCCATGTCATGGGCAAGTTGTACTTTGTTCGTAAGGAGTGAGACACGCCTTCTTCAATGCCTTCCTGAAATAACAGTACCAAACCGAGTTAAATGTTGTGTTCTTTCAATTTTGCTTCATAAATGGATTTTCATTTGATTTCACTAATATACTCGCACTAGATCTCAGTACCTAATTCCCTTCCTTGACTTTCTTAATTTCTAATTGTAGTTTGTCAGCAAAGTTGTTTCTTTTCTTTCTCTGCAAATTTTCTAAGAGAGTTAAACAAGCAAAAAAAACACATATGAAGCAAAATTCATGAAGATGAACAACAAACTAAGCATACAAATGCAAAGAAAACAGAGAAATTTACAAGGAAAAAAAATCCATTTCTCGAATTTTTTTTTTCCCTTCATGTTAATCTATGCAGTATTATGGTTTATGTGTAACCCATTTTACTGTTCTGATTCAAATGGATATAGGATATTTGGTCAGGTTCCTAAAACCTAGTTGAACTGGTTCATGTCCCACTGAGCAAGGCCTGTACAACTACAAGAAAAGAGAGCAACGAATAAGGGTTGAAGCTGAATTGGTTCAGGTCATACTGAGAATTTCTTTAAGGGACAACCTTTAAGTATTCAAAGTGACAAATGACAGTCATTAGAGTCTGAATTAGCAACACAAATACCTTAAGTTTTGGTTGTCAAGTACCTCTTTCAGCATGTCGAATACAGCTCAAGAGTGATCTTTCAGTTCAATTTCATTCCTCAATGCCCTGCCAAAATCCAATTCATCCTTCAGTATTTGGTGCTTCAATTCTGGTAACAAATTAGGACGTTATCACCGATGACTGCAAAATGTTTAGCATATCTTGTGTAGTTGTGTACGAATACCAGATCGAATATCGGCATGCATAAAAGTATACCTTGTAGCCAAGGGCGGATCCAGCCAGAAATTTTTTCTAGGGAGGGCACATATACGTTAAATATATAAAATTTTTGAACGAGGTAGGCATAAATAAAATTTCAAGATAGACATTGTTAATAATATATCTCATAATTGAAGAAAATTCAAATTTTAAGATGGGAATAATAATTTTTTAAAGTGAACAGTATTAATAAAATAGATGATTAATCAAAGAAAATTCGAATTTTAGAAATGTACGTTCGCCTCCTCAGCCCTTAATTTGATAATTAAAGCAGGACACTTTTTGCTTGTCAAAACCCAAAAGTTTTCCACAATCTTTCTCGTTCACCGACCGTGATATCTCCAGGGAAATTATTTAATCAATGATTCCATAACCCATTTCTAAAGAAATCATCTTTAAACAGATTACACTCACAAAACGAAGATCTCCTTTAAACAACTCACCGCTCAAGAGACTTGGAAAGACCAAACCCAGATTTGTAATTCGATGGAATCAGACCTGTAAAACTTCAGGGGGGAAAACATAAAAAAATATTTAAACCATTTCTTGATTTATGCATGTCATCCTTGCGCAGAGGCCATGTTAATCTTCTATGTATCGTTCCAATTTTATCAAATGTCCCTGACGAGACAAGCGGAGGTGGTTGGTTGATTCTCATAAACTGTTGGTTTTCTTCTTCCCTGTATAATGTGGGATATTTAGTCGGCTCCCAACTAAATCCTGAACTAGACTCATCTCAACGTTACGATTTCCGAACATTAGGGCTGGCCTAGACATGGGCGTCCCACAAAACAAAAGCCATGGGCTTGTAGATGTAGTTGAAGAATAAACTGGTCCAGAAGTAATATAAAATCAGATGAACTTTGAACCGGATAAAATAGCCCAAGAGTCTATTATTATTATAATAATAACAATAATTGTTATTATTAATAAACGTAACAGTACAACAACAACAAAACCCTAACCCTATTCTCATATACAATGAAAGTAAGGGGGAGGTAGGATAATAGGCTACCCCCAACGTCAGGTTGAGAGCAGTTTCCGTGAGAGACCTCTGGTAGTCAGAAAATTAAAAATAAAGATAAAATGTAATGCATGTATATATAAATAAATAATTACATAGTTGAACAGTCTCCATATGCAGTCTACATATGCGCGTCTGTAATGGGAAGTAATCCCTGCAAGTAACTCCCTGCGTAAAAAGCTCTGCATATAAATAGAAACGTAAGATCCGACTAAAATTAAAAAGATGAAACATGAAGAAAATGATACACAGAAGTCAACGAGAACAAGCAACGTGAAGGAATATAGTCAAAAGGGTTAAAACCTAAACCAAGACAACACTACTCCGCTACCCTAGTTCTAAGCCTTCATAAATTCCAATGATAGAAACGTATAAAAAGTGGAAGTCATGGAATTACTACGAAGACATTAAAAGAAGACAAAGATGATTCACCGTATGGATATGACCCGCACTACTCGGCTACCTTGGTCTTAAGTCTCCATATTTTCCTACCAGAGGTTATGTACTCGGTAAGGGCTAAATCCTTCAAATCATATCTTAATCAGTATTCCCACTTCCGCCTTGGTCGTCCTCTCCTTCTGACACCGTCGACTATAATCGACTCTAGTAGGTCTAAAAGTTTATGTCGGTATCCATTCATAATAAGACTTCATTTAAGACACTTTAAATTATTTTAGTAGGTCTTTTATTTAAAATACGACTTTTAAAAGCTTTTACAAATTTTATTACGTTAATATTACCTTATTAATGTAGGGTTTACAAACTTCTAGGGGCTTTTAATTTCCTTTTAGATGTCAACAGTACCACCTGAATGAATGGAAGTAGGGGTGTAAACGAGTCGAGTTGAGTTCAAGTATTGTTGAATTCGATTCGACTTAAAAACTCTGAAATGGAGTTTGACTCGAAAACTCGTAAGTCTAAAATTTTCAAGCTCGACTCGAACTCGAAATCATGAACTGGAGCTCGTTAAAGCTCGACATGAAAAAAAGATCTTAAACTTAATTTGATTGAAGTCTCAAACTCGAATTCGAACTCGAACCTGAACCTTAAATAAATACAAATCTTATATTGCATTTAAAAAAAACTAACAAGTAACACATAAATATAAATATTATTAATAATTTATTTTTTTTTAAAAAATCTTAATATATATTATATTTTCGAGTTGTTCACGAGCTTTTCAAATCGAATATCAAATCTCAAATCAAACTCAAACTCGAATCAAATATTTATCAAACTTTGACAGAATAAATTTAGTAACTCTCGATTTGTGTGGTCTCACCACCCTAAACGAAAGTGCGGCTATCAATCATACTCTTTATTTAACTGGACACTTTTCTGAAGTTACACGTGAAGAGTGAAAACCCAATTTCCGGGGCGGGGGGTCCGTTTCAGCTGTCGATGCGTTGCGGTGCGTCACGTGGAAAGTCACTCTCATCACTCGTAACCTTTTCATTTTCAACGAGAGTTAAAGCTGCTGGTAGCTCAACTGAAACCCAAGCTAAATATTTAATGACTTTTACTTGTTTTATGAAAACAAAATTCCTACAAAAAAAAAAAACCCTCGAAACGCTGCTACCCCATCGAACGTGATTACAATAACTTTCGCACGTCAGCACACCTCGAAGTCACGTTGTTTACGGTGGTGCTGACGACACACCTGCTGCTCCTTCTGCCTCCGCAGCTCCATCACCTTCCGGTGGGAGTTCGAGTGTTGACTCAGCACAAATGTTGGACTCGCTGCGGGTCGGTATTCCGGTACAAGCCGACCCGATTTATAACGAACCCCACACGCGTTGCACAATGTCTTTGGTCCTAATGGCCCCGTCCGCCACTGCGGTGTCTTCTCCGACGAGCAGTGCGAGCACCGTCTCACCCCTCCCTCTGCCGCTGGGCATGTCTGACGTTGTTGGATTTCCCTTTTTGTCTTTGACGACTTTCCCGTTAAAGTAGCTGCCGTCGCCGCTTCCGACATGTCCGTCTTCCAGTTTGTTCCGTTTAGTGTTGCTGTTGTTACCGCTCTCGACCGCTTGCTTCGAGCTTTGCTTAAAAACGAGGAGTGATGATCATTTTTGGGGTTAAAGATTCCGGGGAGCGTGCACGATGGGAAGTCGGTGAAGGAATCCTCTACGAACTGCGACAACCACTCCAGCTCAGCCACATCATCATCACTCTGTAAACAAACAAACAAAATGAACACCACAATTTAATCTTGTAACTGAAAACAAAACAAAACAAAACCTAAATGGTATTAACCGGGAGCAAAGTTCTTACGGGAAGGCAAAGCCCGTGGGTAAAGTCCATAGAGAAAGTGGGAGCAACGGTGCAAGCGGAGGAGGAGGAGGAGGAAGCGATTTCAGAAGGAGGGAATTGATCATTGTTGGTGGAATCGGAAGCGGAGGGGAAAAGCTCATCGTTGGACAAATCCAAAAGATCATCAACATCTATTTGTTCCGAAGTTGGAAGCCCGTACACATCCATCTCTTCTTCTCTCAATCACACTATACACTGATGCCTGAATCCTTTTACCCTTAAAAGAAATGCCCAGAGAGGGTGAGTGATTATTATATGAAATGCATGGGAAGAGGGGGCAGAGGAACGTGCGAGAAGAGTATTTGTTTTCTTTTTAATGGGATCTGTAATCTATTTATTATAAAAATAGATTAAAAAAAGATTGATGTTGTAAATGCAGCCCTTCATGCATGCATGTGTAGTTTTATAATATAATATAATATATACTGTGGTAGAAGTAAAATAATTAATTAATGCTAGTAGTAAATAAGAACAAATGCATGGATGGTTGGGTTGATGGAGAAATGGGTGGCATCCCCACTTGTTGCTACTACTGGACATGCGCTGGGCATAAATTAAACCTACACTCACCATTGTTTTCTAAATGTTATATATATTATATTATGTCTTAGATTATTTCACTGATTACCTAATACAAGAAGGTTATTGTTGATGAAAGAAATGGAGTTGTAGCAGTTTTAAGCGGTTCATTTTTTTTATTTGATTGAAGAGTTGTGACCGTTGATTTTCTAAATGTAAAAGAGAAATATAAATAAACAAGAGAAAATGATGAATAATGGTATTAGAAATGAGAGTTTTTTTTTTCAGAAAGAGAGATAGACTCTAGTTTTAATTTTGGATGGAATTTATATACGGATATTTAAAGCTTGTGTTAGACTTAGGGTATTGATGGTTATTTTTGTAGGTCGATAAGGTGAGTATATAAGGAGGTCGTGTAATATTAGATTTAGCGACGATGAGACCGAAAACAGTTATTAAGTCAAAAGACTATAGTTATGTAAAAGATATGAAACTATGAAGATTTTTAGAAATTTCGAAAGTAGGAAGATTGACATCAAAGTTACAATAAACATAAGAGATACAACAATTGTCTCAATACTAATTGAAGTATTAATAATTTTTTACACGGCCAAACTCATAATTTGACTTAATAATTTATTAAATTAAATAATTAAATCATATACATGATGTGTACAATTAAACTAATACGTGAATTCATTAGATAAAAAACTAACAACAGCAATTAACTGCAAATAAAGTAGACCTAAACCCAGTTATCCTAGTTATCCCGGCGTTTACCTTTTCGTTTAGGTTATAAAACAAACATTGTATTACTAACATTTACTAAAACACATGGTCCTTTCAACGTCATTCTGCCACTACTCTGAATTTTTTAAGCTTTTAAATGTAGACAAAGCAATGGGAGAGAAAGAAAAAAGAGTTGGTGCAACTTGGTGTATGTATATTTACATGAAAACTAAGATAGTAAATGGCTTGCTTCATGTTCAAGAGATATATATGCATGGAGGCTGGCAGGCATGCATGGTGCTGCAATCAGTGGTGGATCCACATAGTGGACACGTGATTACTTTAAAATTCAATTTTTTTCTATTAGTTACTTATTTTACTGATAGTGCTAACTCTTAAACGGACGATGCACACCTAAAAATTTTATTTATACCATGAATCTGTCCATGACTGTAATCAAGATGAAAGGGACCACTTTTCTTTTATTACCTAATGGAAAAAGAAAAAGAAAATATTAGAGAAGAGAGAGACGGGATGTGTTCACGTTGACTGTGATTTTATCATGCCCCACACCATTTTTAAATACCGGAGGGAGAAGAAGAGTTTTTTTTTAACCCAAATACTTTCACCGACAACTGCCATTTTCTTCATCTTACTGCCTCTTTTATTTGTTTTAAACTTAAAAAAAATAGGTTAATTAATTTATAAGAAGCTGGAAAATTGGTAACTAGTACTTAATAGAAGGAATAAAACAAATTTTAGTCCACATTGAACTTTAAACTTAATTTTTCACCTTCTTTTTAGTCTTTTTTACTGATATAATGTACCGCTGAAATAGCACATCATCGAATTTAAAATCAGTATAAATTAAAATAAATTTTGATTAAATTAAATAATGTCAAGTTTAGAGGAGTAACCTGGGGAATAAAAATTGGTTTATCCCAATAATAGAATAAAGGATTAAGGGCATCTATATAGGGTAGACAGATGAGCAAAAGGGATCAGAGAAAATGATGAGTTGAGTTAGTGATGTAAGATCAGGTAAT